GAGAACTGTATCCATCAATTCATGTTGTGCTCCAGATTGATGCATTTCACTTCAACATTTAAAATAAACATCTTCCCGGGGGAGCATGCCCCCGGACCTCCCTAGAGGATGTGAGCTCCACCCCCAAATAAAGCAGGTTAAAATAATTAAATTGCATACATGTTCTTTTAGTAAACACTGAAAACGGGTCCCACAGACCCAAACAGCACACAAAGGTTAAAGGTCAGCATATCATAATGTTAAAATGTGCTAAATATATACACTGCAAAAAACAAAAAAAGAGGAGTAAAAGTAGCTCACGACTTGTTTTATTTTTTTAAAGTAGCTCTCATCCTAAAAATGGTTGGAGACCCCTGCCATATACTATAAGAATACATATGTTTCAAATATGTCTAGGTTATATGTTTAACATAATCATGAGTCTAAGTGTCTATATATATGAGTTGGTCTGATAGCACTTACTACAAAATGGCTGACCAAAAAGATATCAATGTGTTTTTCTACCAGTACTTTCCTTTTTAACCTTAAATTACAATAATCTGCCCTGGGGAGACAAAGAGATAAATAAACAAAGAATAAATAATTTAAGAATAAAGAGAATAATTTAAGAGCTGCAAGATGATTTGCATCATGTTATATGTTTATTATAAACATCAAATTACATTTTAAGATCTGGTAATTGGCGATACTTGTATAATGTCATCTTGGGAAATCTACTAATTCAGCAGGATCATAGTGCTATTAAAACAAATTAGTTTGCATCTCTAACTTTTCTTCTTATAGTTATTGTCACTAGTGTCCCTCTTTATTCCGTCAGTCCTCTGCTGTAAAGCTGCCTATTCATCCAGAGTTGGTTCAGGAGGAAAGGGGCGGGGGGGGGAGGTTGGTGATAGTGAAGGACCCAGATTCCCAGGGGAAAGAAGGATCTTTGGCCAGAGAGGGTAATTCTAATGGACACCAGGCTTCCTTCCAGACAGACAGAGAGGGAGGGAGGGAACAGTGAGGAGGGTGGGGGGAGGAGCGGGGGAGTAATGAAAACCATCCATCCATCTCCTGACGTCAGGGAGAGAACAAGAACGTTTGGAGATCTGGAAGAGTTCCCTGAAGTGCGTCAACCAGTCTCAGGCAGGCTCTATCCAAGTTTCAGTCTGCATGTTGATTTACTTGAGTTTCACTTCTGTTTCAAATAAGCTGAAAGTATCTCTGTTGGTGAAGTTCAGCTCAACTTGTTATGCAACAGATCTCATGCCTGCAGTAAAACAAGGGAATGTGCACAACAGGAACCCAAAGTACACAATATGAGGGATGAACCCAAATATTTGATTCAAACAGATAGTTATTTTACCTGAAGGAAAAGAAGTTTATAATTGAAGTCTGGGCATTTTTTATTTCTTCAAATTGATTTCAATCATGTTGGATTGCCACAAGATAAAAAAAAAAAAAAGATTCTGTTTTGAGAAATCTGATTTTGATTTCACATGGTCTTTGAAAAGTTTGTCTGAGGGGGGGAAAAAATGTTTCTGTAATGGTGAAAAATAGATATGGATCAGTCAAGTGATTGAATTCATATATTTTATCCAATAATAAAATGCAAAACATATATAATTTGATATAACATTTGTAAATGGGCAGGTTAAAAAGCAAGCGAGATGGCTAAGTTTTAGATATGCCTTAAACATTTAAATTATTGGACTTGTGGCTTACTAAAGACATACAAAAACTGCCTTAATGGGATCCTCACGATATTAATATGGCCCTATGCAGAGCCGTCAAGAAATCTATACAAGTTCATGACCTTGATCTGTGTCCAAAAATACGCCTTTCTTGACCTGCTTGAAAAGTCCTTAAATGTATGTTTAAGAAGGTTTCACTAATTAGTCGTTTCATTAAATACATGTTATTGAAAAGGGGTCGCTTCAGGCCTGTTTGTGTTCATTTAAAATAATTTGTTTTACCCTGTATTTTAGACCCCATTTACACGGGAACGTTTGCGTTTACGCACCGTATGCGTTTTCAAAAAAGTCTTCCGTTCACACGCATTCGATTCATTTAACGTGTCTGTTCACACGAGACCGCTGGAAACGCTGTAGTACATATGCCGTGCCTGTAAGTGGCGCTGCTGCCGCCACAAAATACACCAAAAGCAGCGAAGAAGACCCCGGAGCATGGTTGCCCTTCTGTTTATTCTCCGCGGTGGACGGCGTGTGCTCCTGCTGTAAATCTCTCCGGTAGTCCACCAGCAGATGAAAAACACCCACCTCTCCGCCTCTTCCAGGGACGAGGGAACCATGCGGCAGAGTTTCCGTTAAAAAAAAATTGCGCCGGTCAACATGTCCGTTAAGGTTTAAATCTTCCGGACAAAATTAGAAAAGTGCCGGTCAGAGGTCTTCTTTGTTATTTATTGAGCTTTAAAACAAATTGATAACGACTCTATATAATAATATAAGAATAATAAACGGAGCCTCTCTTTTCCTCCCCCTCTTCTGACAGCCCAGCAGCTGATCTCTGAGCAGGAGACGTGGGGAGAGGGAGGCGGGGCTATTTCATCGTTATCAGAAAATGATCGTGTAGAGGCGTAAACACGGAGCCGTTTGACCCCCCAGAGCGTTCAGTTTGCAGATATAATCAACCTTGGGACCCGTTATCGTTTGCGGGGTACGTTTTTATCGTTTTGTTACAGCCTCGTGTAAACGAAAGGGCTATACGCAAGAGAAACTATGCGGATACAACCCGTATCGTCCTCGTGTAAACGGGGTCTTAGTCAACATTCAATCCTGATTCTGTATGCATCAGCCATAGGTTGCATGTTAAACTCAATTTCGTATTGGTTAATATCCCCAAATTAAAGGTTTGTTGTGGTGGTGGGGTTTCATAAGGATGTAATACGATATTTAATATATAATTAAATGTCATTATTCAATCAATTTGATGCTTTGAATAAGCACAAATTGCATTGCATACTAATGAAAATGAAGTTAACTATTAAACATTAGCATGATTTAACCAGACTTGGGTAAAAAAACATCCCCACTGCCGATCTTCTATCCTAATACAGAGACAACTTTGTAGTTCGAACAGATAATGACGTCTTCGTACACCTCGACGTGTCTGATGGGTTTATGTTTGCAGGAGATAATGGAGGAAACAGTGGAGAGGACATCCAGCTGACCACTACCATCACACATGTGGACGGCCCCACTGAGATCTACAAGATGACCGGCAAAGAGGCCCAGGAGTAGATGTCCCACTGTTAATAAACCCCCCTCTACTACCTACTGCTCCAACAACCCCCTCCCTCCTATATGTAATCCAACAGGCTTTTATTTTGACACTGCCCGGCAATAAATGGCATCATAGATCCAGCTCCCATTTAACCAGTCCCATGGCTGAATATTATCAACACTCCTGTCCTTTTTCATTTCACGGTGGTACCCTTTTCTTACATTTCATACTTTATGTAAACTGTTATGTTTTTAAATGTTGCACATTGTTTTTTTTACACCCAAAAATGAGATTAGCATGTAAAGAACATCATTTCTTGTTGGTCAGAAGTTGCATCTGGCAGCTGTCACACTCCTGATCTTTTTTTTTAGAAGTACAGTTCTGTAAAACTAAATCCTTTTGACAATGGACCGCATTAATAGGTAACGTTTTTCAGATACATTTAGTTTAATTTATCGCTTAATTTCCTTGTTGTATTCTCATTCAAGGCCTCGGAGCCTGTCACACATATTTTTCCATAGAAAGTAGATCATGTTGAGTCCTGCTGTCAATCATTTGAGATCTTTTTTTATATCATAAATGTACAGACCACATAGCCACTTTGGGAAATGCATACTGTACGTTCATTATGTTACAATGTAGATATCTATTTTTTATAAAGTGCTTATTTTCAACTTCACAAAATACATGCATCAAGCTCTATCAATTTTTTTGAAGTGGGCTGTAGCCTATTATACATGGTTCTTAGTTTGTTTTTGCTTTTTATTCTAATTTAAATAAAAACACTTTGACTTAATACCCTGATGTATTGTCATAATGTTTACTCGGAGTGAAGTCCTTATTTTTTACACTTATTCACAAGTTTAAAGAGGAATAAAACTAGGAAAGGGATTATCAACAAAATATCCGTAATTCAGTGTGTCTTGCTTTTTGAGATTTTATTTGTTGGTATAAAACATTTGCTGCAAGGCTTTTTAAATATAAACTAATTTGTTGGTAATTGCTGTCTGACTAAGCGTACATTTATAGGGAAAGGCCGCCACTGCATGGCTCATAGAAGAACAACAACTCCACTTTCACTTTTCTCATTGGTTAAGCTAGCCAAAGAGAGCAAGTGTGAAACCGGAAGTCCTATTATATTTGTGTTTTTACAGATTTTAAGCACAGGATATTTGACATTAACAATGATTGTATTTGCGTTTCTACAACTTCCTTTTTCTTAGCTTTGACTCCACTAATTATTGGAGGACTATTTTAATAATAAGTTGCATGTCAAATTTATTTATCACAAAATCAGAACACAATCCAAATGCATTAATTGATTTGCTAGCAATTCGTTCTTCGTTCGCCAAACTTCTTGGCCAGGTCAGCATTGAAAATGAGATTTTATCTCAATGCTTTTTTATCTGGTTAAATAAAGGTTAAATAGATTAAACTCTAAATGGTATGCCTAAAAGCCTAATCTACGTTGTCTGGAAAAATCTTTGTATTGGCCTAAAATAAGTAATAGTAGTAGTAGTCGTACATTATACTGATTATAGCCTACATAAATGGTCTCACCAAAATGTGTAATCTCACAGGCTGATTTAGAAAAATATTGAGGGTATGACCAGTCTCAGTATTAGGGCCCTGGTTTATTATTTGCACTACGACGAGCATATACTCTGTTTAATTTCCCCCTAAGAAAAGTTGTAATACTCCAACCGGAGTTTTATTTTGACAACCTTACCAGGACGTAGTACTAAGAGAGCCATTAGCTTGACGCTGTGAACATCCGCCAGTGTTTCTCTCGGTCCGCCTTCTCTCCTCCCGACTCAATTCAGCTGTTTCGTCGTGAAGCGTCCAAGTAGCGGAGGAAAGGGAAAGGAGAGGGGGGAGACTGATGTTCTAGAGAAGGAAGAAAGTAAACGAAATTAAATATTAACACCACCCGTCAGCGGAAAGTTGAAGCGGCACTACTTTGAAGTCGCCGCTTTGGTCCATGCAGAGACAGCGTATGGTGTAAACACGTTAGTGGAGTTGTGACATTCCGCGGTGAGCGACACGGCAGAGGGAAAGGTCTCCTCCCAGGCTGTTGACGGATACAGCTCGGCTCCAGTGAAAGAAGACACGGCCGGACCTGACTGTTCACTACCTCGGCCAGGTAAGACTGCCATGTGTCGATAAACTGTCACATTCATTAACAGCTTCTTACCTGAAGCAACAGTTGGTCTGCTCTACTATGAGACATATTTGCTGTCATTGCTGCCAGCTTTCACAGTGTTCATCCGCAACACTTAGGTCGCACAGTTTACCTAACATAGTTTAAATGTCGTTAAAGCTGTGACTTCGGTGACCACACACATACATATTCAACTTCATTCATATTAATGTAATATACTATTCAACAGGTGATAGCTTGAGTTTACTCAGTGCTCTCTGGGCCTTCTGCCCTGGTTATTCCCTACAGGCCCCACCTACTGTTGGCCACATAATCACTTATTTTGAAAAAGCCAATAGATTATTCCAGAACAGAAAAGCACTTTTATAGACCTAAACTAGCCTCTTCCTTCTCAAGAGCTGCAAAGATACATCCGTTAGTTAACTTTCAAATACATGTCCAACTATTTTGATAATCGTTAAATTAGTTTTCAGGAAAAAGAGTATAGCCTACATTCTCTGATTCAAGCATCTTCAAAGAGACTACTTTCTGGGTTTATTTACTCTATGACAGCAACATATACAACTCAAATATCTTTGACTTGTGGAAAAAACTATTTGAGGGTGTCATCCTCGACTTTAGGAAACACAGACTAAACTCCCCATTTAAGAATAAAATAAAATAGATAAAAATGAGAATACAATTATTTATATAAACATTAAAAGTAAAAGAAAGAAACGTGTAATAAAATAATAAATAAAATAAAAACGAATTAAAAAAACATAAATACAAACATAGGTTGAATCTAACATTTCCAAATTAAATAAAAGATCTGTGTTTTTCCACAAATAATCATAAAAAAGCACCACATATCTCGTTTTAAAAAGGAGATGTTTCAGGTAGAATAAAAAACCAGTGACCACACAAGTATTATCCTCACTGCTTCATCAGTATACTATTCAACAGGTGATAGTTGAGCTTACTCAGTGCTGTCATGTGTTTGCCACATCATTGACTTATTTTGGAAAGCAAAATGGATTATTCCAGAACAGAAAAGCACTTTAATAGACCTAAACTAGCCACTTCCTTCACATTAGTCGATTATGCAATAGGTAATCGCTTGTAACACTACCTGTGTAGTCCAACATGAACCAATTAGATGATGTGATGGTTGAAGTGGCTGAGATGTTGACATGAAGCCGTAAGCATCAGCAGCTCTGGCCGTGAGGAGGACAGAATACAGACCGACCATTGATAAGGCCAACTCATTAGTACCCCATTCACAGCATCAAAGCTTCCTCTCAACGCCCATCAGCATGAGTGGGTCGCTACACACACTGGAAGCAGAGGATCACACACGTCCTGCCTTCACGCTGATTACAAGGGTTTGGTTTTGGTGTGACACTCATTACGTTTTATTATACAGCAGCATGACGGACACTGGCCGAGAGTAAGTGCCTCAGAAATCAGACCAACATGCATTGCTGATATTAACTAGAGCTGCTAAGATACATCTGAGATGTTATGCTCATTTCCAGGTTCATATTTGTATTTATTTAGTTCCTCTACTGTGCTTTAATGTTCCAAAAGCTCTTTATTTGTCTCATACTGCCTGTGCTGCAGCACCTCTTTTCACCCTCTGTCTGAAACCAGAGCCCAGTCTGCTCTGATTGGTTAGCTGGCCGGCTCTGTTGTGATTGGTCAACCACTTAGAGATGTCACGCAACTGAGCCTATCACACACACAATGTGTTAAAGCGATAGCCAATAAGGCACGAGTGTTACAGTGATGTCATTATGTTGCAGAAGTAACAAAGGTGTCCAATGGAGGCGTTTTAGGTGGGATTTGAGCGTTTGCAGACCATTTACATGCACTAAAACCTATGTAACAAACTACAAGAAAGGGAAACCCCCAAAAAGCATAATAGGGCCTCTTAAACTAGAGATGTGCTCATTTGCCAGGAATAAATAAATCAACGATAACGTATTATAACTAGGGATGTCCCGATCACCTTTTTTTGCTCCCGATCCGATTCCGATCATTTGATTTTGACAATCTGCCGATACCGATTTTTCCCGATCCGATCTTTATGCAATGCATTAAGAGGAAAAAAAAGGTAACAGATAACGGCTGGTCATCCAACGCGATGAATTCCGCTATCTTGGCTGTTCTGGGGTAGTTTCTCTTTCCTTTTAAAAGTCTCTGAAAGTGTCGGTTGTTTCAGTGCCGTTACCTGAGTGGCCGCTGTGTACTCGTCGTGTTGTTGTTGGTGGTGTTTGTATTAGATTGGTCATGTTGAACGTAGCTCTGTTCTTTCCACCACGCGGAACCTCCGCCTTGCAAACATTGCATCTGGCTGTTACACTGCCTTCGCTTTCAATTTTATAATACTTCCAAACTCCTGACATTTTCTCTGTCCCGACTCCCGAGTCACCAGCTGAACGTAGCCTCTTGTTAGCTTACTGCTACTATTAGACACTGCGCCCTGCCCACTCTGTTGCCAGATTTGAGAGAAATAAGCAACCAGGTCTATGAAAACAAGCCCAAAAGAAGCAACACATACATGATGTTGTGTAATTTTAACCCAAAACTAAGGCCTCAGGATGACTTTAAGACGTGAACATGGTCATTTTTGTTTTGTAACATTAAATAAAATGTATAAAAATATTTTATAAAAAAAAAAAAAAAAAAAAATCCGATCCCCGATTTTTTTCTCCCGATCCCCGATCACGTGATCGGATCGGGACATCCCTAATTATAACGAGTAATGTACTTAAGAAATCCTATCATGAAAAGCTGCATGCTGTTCATTAGAAATGAAGATGATGACGTCCATGAACAGCTGCCTTGTGTAATGCTGTCAGGTCTGATCATGAGCCTGTCTGCTGCAATTCCTCACAACAAACACTAACCGCTTGTTTTATTCCCAATCATTTTTCATTTCATCAACACGTTTCCTCAAATAATACTTTCCGAGACGGGTGTGTTTTCAAACTCTCTCTAGCAGCTTGCTGGTGGGTTCTCCCAGATTGCTGGCAGGATTTAACGTGACGTGTGATGCATGTCAATTGATTAGTAACAGGAGGAGGGGGCTATTTGGGAACAATGGCTCGCCTAATGCAAGGATGAGATTAAAAAACTCCTGGTTTTAGATTTAGGGAAGGATGGATTTTAATCTGATCAGTCTGTCTCCATATGAGTTTAGGTTCTGAACAATAGATGATCTGTTGGGTCATGTGGGAAGTAGCCGTAACCAATGCTGTAGTTTGGCATTTCTCCTACAGAAATGGCAGGAAATGCTGAGTTTCTGCCGCTCAAATATGGAGATTTCCTGGCCTGCCTTTCTCTGTTTAATATTGACGAATCCTCTCATCTATATATCACATTTTCTTCTCTGCTCAGTTTGGACTCACTTTCACCTTTCTTCCTTTTATCTACACACACACGCACAAAGTCCTGTGAAAATTGATTGAAAAAAGACAGGCCATGATAAGTGGACCAAATCTATTAGAAATATCCCAAAAATCGCCAACTCTTTTGTTGATTGTTTTTCGTCATTTCTCATACAAAAAATGATGTTTTTTTCCGCCTTTCAAATATGGAGATTTCCTGCTTTTCTCTCTGTTTTATATTAAATCAAAAATACATATATTTGTGTTTATTTTAAATGATCACCTTGACTTAAAAAAAGTAGAATGGGCATTTAAAGATATTTTCTGCTATTATAAAGACCAAACAATGAATTGAAAAATCCATAAAATAATTAGCAGATTATTCTATAATGAAAAAAATCAGTATTTGCAGCCTAAGCAGCTACTTGCATATTGCTGCTCCTAGTTTTGAGCCCTGCTAATAGGATCAGCGCGTGCGGTGGAAGTGTCTCCTGTGCCTGTCCTCTGACAGAATGCTGCCCGACCCGATCGGCAGCTCTGTGGCGACTTGTTGTCGAACAGGAGGAGGACGCAGTGAGGCGGGATCCTCTCTTCAGGATCCGTTTCCTCATAGAGCGGCCCCACAGCCCTTTCTTTCTACACACTTTGTTGAAATAGGGGTGTGTGTGTACATGCCGGCGTCGTGTGTACTTGCTTTGGTCTGTTTAGTGTGAACTTACTACTTCCTTACATGGCTGAGTGAGTGCTCCCATAATCTGTCCAGCACACAGACGCAGAACTTAAGTATATGTTTCTAAAAGTGACTGTTTAAAGTACATGTTTTTACCTCATCAAAGACTACATCACACTCTCTGCTTCTACACACTCATCAACACTTAAATAGTCCTGTCATGCACATGTTGTGTATTCTTTGAAAGAGTTTAGAGTGGAACCAATTAGTCGATTGATCACATTTCTTGATTAAATATATATATATCATTGGTGAAGAATATCTTAGGGGTCTTTCCAGCTGGTTTTGTTGGTTCTCTAATGCCCCTTTCACACCAACGCGGTTCCCGTTCTAGCTCCGTGCTTGCGCTCTTCTGGTTCGGAACCGGTTTTTCTTTTCAGCCCCCGTTTTGTTCACACCGCCCAGAGCCCGACTGGTGCTGCCGCGGCTGCGTCATGACGTCACCGTTTACGTCGCTGATTTTCTCCCCAACGGCGACAACAACAACAACAATGGGGGACTGCGTCGGGTCGATGATCGTGTTACTTTTAATCATACGAAGCCAGATTAAATTAAATAACTATTTCTCAACCCTTATACTTTTCTCCAGAGTGCCGTGGTGCGTGCGTGCGTGCGTGCGTGCTTGCTCTGCATAGTGCATGTTGTAGTCACGAGGCCTGCAGTGGTTAGCTTGAATTCCTCCCTCCCCAGGAGCAGATGCTCAGAGGAGTGGTGGTGACTTAGCGGATGTACAGTCACACCCATCTGTTGGTTTGGCAACAGAGACATGCTTTCATGAAATACCATTGGTAACTGGATCATTTCCTACTGACTTCAAAGCAGAAACACTCTTACATATACTTTCATTTGTTTGTCATTGTAATCTGCACATTCACTGTAGG